CTCAAGTGAAGAATGCGTCCTTCTGCTAGTATTCAATAAGTCTTATTAAACAATTAAGAGAAATACAATTTACAAATGCAATCCTGATGTTTGCATAGGGAATAGACAGGAATGTCCTTAGCTATTAGTTTGTCCCATCCAGTGTTTTGCAAACTGGAGATTTACTATAAAGAACAAAGCAAAAAATCATGTCAGGCAAGCCACCTTCTTCTTCTAAGCCTTTGTATTTTGAAGATAGTAAGATGTCAAGTTTTTTCTCCTAGTTATTGTGACATTATCTCACTTGATATTCTGCATCATTACTGGGACTTCAGTAATCACAGAACTTCAGGTCAGCTGGTTGAGCACTGATGCTGTCATTACATTCCAAGAAATAAGCAGACTGACTGTTAATGACATGTATAAATTAAGGCTGAATTTTTAACCACAGAATAGTCCCAGTTTCATAGACCCACTTTTGTCTTGATTGTCCATGCAGATCTTATTACCTTTTCAATTTCTCTTCCAAGGGCCAATTTAAGGAAATGGCAACAAAACAGTGGGAATGGCATGAAACATTATACTTGAGTTGATTAGAGCAGAAAAAGCCAAGAAAACTGCTGAGGTTTTTTGCTCAATATTACTCTACTTTCTCAACCCAAACCAAAGATTACTCTGTCCAAACCAAAGATAACATAGTGACATCCTTTAATATAAGACTGCGGGAAACTGTTTTAACTTCAGATGCATACCATGGAAAAAATGTGCCCTGGGTAGCCATCTCTCACTTTCCCCCCAGCTCCTCTTCTACCCCTTCTTGACTGCAGGAACAGGAATAGAACGGAGAGCTGGGCAGTTTCATGGGCTGCAAGGTGTTCAGGGAATTGTAGTCCTGCAGACTGATAGTGGAGTGTGCTGCTGCTAGGGATAACTTTCACTCCATTTTTTGTCACCAAAGCCCATGTCCAGAAGGGAAATAAAAATGCTAATATGGCAGCAAAAATGGGGGTTAGTTCAGCAAACTCCAGATCTGTAAGTCTTTCAAGAATATAGTACTTCCCCAAGTCAAGACTGGTCACAGGCAACACCAGAATAGCCTCTTGATGTCTATCTTGGTAAGAAACCAAGTAGCGGAGATCTGATTGAAAGTAGGCATAAAACCACCATATAATGAAAAGCTAATTCTATTTGGACCTCAAATTGGCCCACCTCAAGTTGTGAGGAGTTAGTTCACATTTTAACCTGAGTTGATTCATTCAGCCTTCACCCTTTTGTAGTGAAAAACCCCCTCAGCAAATGTCAACAATGACACAGAAAATAAATATTAGCACTTTTTTCATACTGTACATTAGGGCTGTGCTTCAGTGTGAGTTTTCATGAATATTATGGGTCTGAAACTATTTGTATTGAGAAAGAAAAGAAAATGATTACCTGAAGAGTTCATGCAATCTTCAGCACTAGAGGCTGTAAATTTTTGGCTCAGAATATAATGGTAATCTTCCAAAAAGTTTACTGTTCCAAAAGGGGATTCAATAGGCGCTTTATCTGAAATACAAAGGAAAATAAATTGATTTGTTAAGAATCAAGTGTATTTGGAGGTGAAACACTACTGGGAGCTATGTTTGTGCTTTCATAAGAGGTCAGGTGCAGGGAGGCCAAAATAGTTAGTTTATTATGGATAACTGAGCTTCATGAGAACAGGTGGTCAAGGCCTAAGAATCTGATGTGGCTGCGTTTGCATCCAGGCCACTTCAATTGCTATCAGTGGGTTTTCCAAACATGGAGGGTTTTGGTTAGCGTCTGTGACAGCAACATGTTCAGTAGTCTTTTATCCAGCAAACAACAAAACAACAATGGAATAATAATTATTATTGGGTTAGGATGTATTCGCAGTATTACAATGCACACTTACACGTAGTGATTTCTCATGCCCTGAGTGGTTTCAGTAAAATGAATGACATGTGCCCTGGAATGTGGCACCATTAACTTTAGGAGAGTGATAGAATCTAAGCTTTATGGTTCAGGTACCAAAATAGTTGGAGCCTTCCTGAGTACAAAACTTCAGGGATTTCCAGTAAATTTCAGGAAGCCTGAACACTTAGTAGAGGTGGCCTGAGGCCCTCTAGTAAACTTGTAGTGTTATTTTTTCATAAAATATATCAAAAACAAAGAATAAAAACTGGCTACCAAAGTCTAGGAGTTAGGGTGATTGATATAACAGGAATGCAGATACAGCAGGGGTCATAATAACTGTTCATGAAGTACCTAACATTGGATTTAGGCTAGATCAGTGGTGCTCCACCTCTCCAGCTCTATGGGCTCAATAAGTGACACTGTGTCAACCTGTAAGCCACGTTCCATACACAGGGGTTGGTCCATGGGCCAGATCTCCTGTGCACCTTGTGTATGACCCTTCATGCAGAATTCAGCAGTGGCATGACCCTGTGTGCCTGTGCAACCATGCACACTAGTTCTGGCTGCGGAGTGACTATGTACTGGCACAATCTGGCATGTGGGGCCATGTCATCTAAAGCATAACGTTCCCCCTGGGGTTCTGAAATTTTTCAATAGGAGAGCTGTGGCAGAATTGTTGCAGCTCTGAGAGCAACTGGTACTTGCTGGTAAATTTCTGCACCTGTGGGTAGTCCCCACTGGCCAGGTGACAAGGCTCCATGGGCTGGAAGTTAAATACATTCAGTCAGCATGAGATTACCTCCCAGTCTCATCACTAAATCATCAACAAACCCAACACAAAATGCAAAACTGCCCACTAACCTTGGTGTTTCACAGTCACCCAATTCAACAAGTAGTTGCTAGTTTGCTGCAGCAGGACATTATTGTCTCCTTCGTATGTGCAGTTTGGATCATTCTCATTGCGGATATCACCTAGACGATTTACTTAACAAACAAAAAAAGTCACAAATTTCAACATCTTATAACCTACCCAAAATGTGATTAAGGCTCAAAAAGATGTAACCTATGATCAAAGGTAAAAAGCAACTGATGTGCTATACAGGATGGGCATTCTCACATGTAGTGGGCTCTAAAGAACAACCACATGGTTCTGAAAACAAACACAGGAGGGTTAATTTTCAAAAGTATCCAGTTTACAAGCATATTTTTCACCTGCAATAGCAGTATTTGCATTTCTGGACTGAACCCAATTTGCATGCAAAGAGTTGCCAGTTCTAGCACCACCTGTTTCATTTGCTGGTCCACTACTCCATGTTGCACCTGGAACTCACTCTGCAGAAGCATATTTTGCATGTCCAAATTCAATATGTAATAAGGAAGTCCGACCCAAGGCCCCCTGAAAACTTATCTTCATAAATATCTCTTTCCCCAATAACAACTGTGATAAACAAGAGAAACACATTTTATCTGACCACATTTATTTGTAATTTGTAGCTTACTGGATAGGTAGCCATGTCCTCCACAAGCTTCTCGACATTCCTGGGCCGCCTGCTGTGCAGTCCAGGAGGCCAGTGGTTTGCCAGCAGCAGCCAAAGCATGAAGTTCACGTCCGAGTTCAGCCTTTGTGGAAAATGAGCGACTGGTGAGTAATGCGTTTAGACAAAACAAAACACGAGAACCCAAAATCTAGGTTCAGAAAGAGAACAAAAACCAAAATCACCCAACTTCATTTTGCCAATATTTTTAATTGTTAATTTTTACTATTAATGCCTTTCTAAGTGCAGAAATTTGAATTGCAATATCTATCAAAAACCAGCACATTACCTCTTAAAAAAACTCCTTTGATGTGGATCTCATGCAATCTTATTTATAGTAGACAAAAACTGAATTTGCATTAAGGTAATCATAGGAAAGTAGGGTTGGAAGGGACCAAATGAAGTTCAGCTCTGAATAAACTGTCCCTATCTAGTAATGGACTGCGTAAGCTATCATTCGGGAAAGCACTTGAAAATAATGTACACAGTCTACACTGTGAGTATACTGTAACCAGTAGAACTCAAGGTACTCAATGAAGTTAAGCTCAAGTGCTTTCTTGACTTGGGGCCCTAAATATTGATGTGGTCATTTCAGTACCTCAGCCACTGACCTATCTTTCTTAATTATAAGACAGTGCAGTGCTTGCATATATGCCATAGTATACAAAATTGAAAAAATATTGCAAAAAATCTGAGTCCCAACTAAGAGGATATTTATAAACATCTTACCTGTCTTAGGCTCTTTTCCTTCATCACAACGCCGATTTTAAATTCTACAAAGTTCATGAACAAAGTCTTAACAAAATGGTCTAAGGCATACGTAGCTGCCAGATAGGGAAGAAGGCGCCATTGCTGTAATGAAAATTAAATCTAACTGAAGAATGATTGATACATAAATATTACGAGATCTATTTAATATCTCTTTTAGTATACTTTAAAAATTTCTGGCAAATTACTATTTTTAGACATGAAGTTTTAACTAATAACTCATTCCCCTTCTATCCTAATACACACAGTTTTTTATGGTTATGATAAATTTATAAAGACCCTGTATATCAAAAATGAAATGGATTCACTTCACAGGATGGTTCTGGTGAAATTAATCAAGATCATAGGTGTTATTAATTTGTGACAAACAGCACGAACCAACACATAATCATTGAAAGTCTTTGGGGTTGAGACTTTTTTCCCCTCTTGTTTATGGACAACACCTTGCACAGTGGGATCCTGGTCTCAGACAGGGGCCCTACCTTAATAGCTGTAATTCCTTCTATATTTTGCAAGAGTAGAAGATAGAAAAAGAGCACAAATATGACATTAAAATGTGTAACAATAGTCTTTAAATCCATGTTAGTATGTAAATTATATTTCTTTCTACTGCCTGCAATGAAGAAGGCACTATATATTTACGTTTCATAGTTTCTAGGGTCGGAAGGGACCTGAGTAGATCATCTAGTCCGACCCCCTGCCATGGCAGGAAAGGGTACTGGGGTCAAACGACCCCAGCAAGGTGTACATCTAGTCTCCTCTTAAAGACCCCCAGGGGAGGAGCCAGCACCACTTCTCTTGGAAGTAGGTTCCAGATCTTAGCCGCCCTGACCGTGAAGTAGCGCCTCCTGATATCTAACCTAAACTTACCCTCTGCCAGCTTGTGACCGTTATTCCTGGTCACTCCTGGCAATGCTTGGGGGAACAGGGATTTCCCCAGTGCCTGCTGGTCCCCTCTGACTAGTTTGTAAGCGTAGAAGCTAACAACATAAAAGGACAATTTTTACTCCAAAGAGCTGACTATCTGAGAAAAGAAACATACCAACAGTATAAAATAATGGAACTATAATAAAGAAATAAGAATATAATAAAAAGATACAAAGCTTTTTATAACAATTCTACTTTTACATCAATTACATTTCAGCAATAGCGAAGTACCCCTGTCGCATCCATGACCCGTTTGCCAATTGGCATCTTTGAGTGCCTCAAGGGTCTTGAAGACAATTTAGATGAGAGTGGATGCATCTACAGCTACATGTGCAGTTTACTGAGTTGACTAAGCAGCTCCACAGTAAAGTGTCAGAAACTTCACCTGTGCTGATATTAGGTCATGGTAAACTAATTATCTCTGCCATAGGATAGTACTGTCGGGAAGTACTTTACTGTGCTGAAAGGCATGTGTAGACAGTGACCGGGGACGTAAATTGCACCTGGTCAGCCCAGCTAGCTGGGGGCTTACTCCACCCTAGCTCAAATTGTTGCTATCCTAGGCACACATATAGACATTGTGCCCAGGACAAGTTCACTCTGGTGCAAACTGCTCTGGAGTTTATTGCATCACCTTAATTGCACGTGTAGATGCACCCAGTGTGGAGTTCTCTTGTGAGGGCTGATGCTCTGTGAGCAGGTGACAAGAAGGAATGGTAATGGGAGATGTAGACAAGGGGAAAGTCAAAGAAAGGCTCTCTTTCTAAATCTGAAAGAAGGGGGGTAAGAGAAAGATTTCATAAATAAAGAAGAATCTTGAAGGTAGGAAGAAAATCTTTAATCTGATGAGTAGATAAGTAAAGCCAAGACATGGATACAGACTGGTGCATGTTCAGAAAAATATACAAGAAGGATAGTCTCAGTGGCTGTGGTTGGAATGGGGTGGAACTGGTGATGTCAGTGTTGGGAAAACCAGCATGGAAGAAAGTTGAACCCATGTTTCTAGACTGTAATACATTCCTTCCTACTAGTCTTAGAAATGTTCTTTTCAGATTTCTACACTGTATTTTGGATTTCACCAAGACAAAACCTGATTCTCATTTACCCTTGAGGCCCACTTACTCCTCTGCTGAATGGGGGGTAAAGAGACCTCAAATGAAAATCAAAACTTCACAGATATATAGGGCCAGCTTTTCAACTGGTTAAGCTAACAGAACTTAACTAAGTTTAACACAGTTATGCTGATTTACATCAGCTGAGAAACTGTTTATATTTAAAAATACTATAATTAAAAGAAAAATCTCTAGATTTGAATGAAAGATTAAACTGAATAGTTTATACCTGCATTTGGTATTCAAGGACTGGTATTTCTTCATCATCTGTCGGCCCAAATTGGCGGCGTGTTGCAGAGAAACGAATAGCTATCGATAAAGCGAGCTTTAAATTAGCAACAGACATTTGTACTATAGAAATTCTGCCAACGGATAAAGACCCAAGAGAGGCACCAAGACGATGTTTGAGATCCTGAGGAAATAAAAGACACAAACTGAACTGACCAGTTAACTTGCCATTCACCAATACTATGCACAATTAAATTTCCAGCAAGTTCTGACTGCTACACAAAGTGTTACATTTTCAAAAGGCTTGTTAGAGAGTTGCTTCTACATGTCATACTGGCTTTATTGGCAAATGCGTAATAAAGTGCCTGGAGTACCCTGGCCATGATTTAAATGTGTAGTTCATGAATTTGTGAAATTTCATCATAATATGTTTAATAGACTGGATACATTAAACATGTAGTTCATACCTTAAATGAGCTTGTGTATACTCCCTCCACTGTGACATCTCCAGTACTGTTCAGTAAGTTTTCTTTAGGTATCCTGACATTGTGAAACATGGCAAATCTGTCCAAAGAAATATATTCATAATATAAACTTCCTCATAATACAGTTTGAGGTAGATGCACTGTAAGTGGATGGCCATGTTGAATGCAGGGTATCGTTGTAAGGGGAAAACAGTATTAACATAATGCAGGTATTCTGTGGGGGCTGGGGGAGAACTCAACACACAAAGCTACAGGAAGAAGAAGCTAGGACTGGGGATGTTTTCTGTTATTCACTTGTATTGATGACTTAGTTTTTGGAATTAAACACAATAGCATTAGGAAAAGTCCTTCCTGACTGCGCACACATTTTCTTTGCACTCACTGATTCCATTAGCTCATATTTAAATGTAAAATCCTGTGCTAATTTACAGAAGTAAGAGATTTTAAAGAACACTGAATACCTTCAGAGAGGACAGATGGCTTTGCTTGGACCATGGACTCAGATTATAGGAGTTTAACTTGCAGCTTGCCATAAGCTTCCTGCATGAACATATGCAAACAAGGTTTTTTGGGTAAAACGTGGTATCTTTTAGTGGACCAACTAAATAGCTGGAAAATTGTTCTTTACAAGCTTTGGGGCACAAGTACCCTTCTTCAGGCATAGGGAGAGTCTGCTGGTGTTTGCACGCTCTCTTGGGTGAAATAGAAGCTTAAGTCAATATGCAAAATGTAGGTCTGTGAAAATGCAAATGTGTGGCAGGGAAGATCATAGGAGATGGGATTTAACAGATGCGAGAGAGGTAGGTGTTGTAGGGGAAAGGGGAATGTTAACCTGGTGACAGACTGCAGCTGATAAGATGTAGAGAGGTTACCTGGGGTTATCAGATGTCAGGCAGGTTATAACATGCCATAAATCCAATGTCTATATTTAGTCCATGATTTTTTGTATCCAGTAATTTATGAAGCAAAGTTCATAGGTTTGTCTACAAAGGGTGTATTTTAAATTCCCTTTGAGGATTAAAACAGAGATTGGAGAGAGAGTGATTGTCTTGTGAGAAATGTGCACCCACAGATAACTGGGTATTTTTGTCCTCGATAGATTTTTGATGTGCATTCATTCTGGTACGCAGTTGTTTTTTGTATCTCCCATGTATTTTTCATCTGGGCATTCAGTACACTGGATAAGATGTATTACATTTCTGGAGATGTAGGTGAAAGATCCAGGCATGCTGATAGTTCTGTTGTAGTTATTGTGTGAGTGGTGTAGATGTGTTGGCAGGTTTTACATTTCTTGTTCCGGCATTGTCTGGATCCATTTGGTGTGCTTTGGGCCATAGGAAGTTTTCTACTGGTGATGAGTTTGGCAAGGTTCGGTGTCTGTTTAAAGGTTAAGATGGGTTGTTCTGAAAAGATCTGTTTAAGAATTGGGTCTTCTTGTAGTATGGGTTCCAACTGTTTGAGGATTTTCTGTGTAGGTTCCAGGGAGGGATGGCATGTCATAACTAATGGTATGCAATTCGTGGAGATTTTCTTTTTGTACTGTAGCAATTCTTCAAGTGGTATCCAGGTAGCTCTTTTAAAAGTGTGATCTCTCTCTCTCTGGAAGAAGGTCCTCGTTGAGTGAAAGTCCTTTAGATTTGTGAGATGACGACTGCAAGTGTTCTCAGTGCAGTTTCGGTGGTATTGGAGGGCTTGGCTCTATATTAGAGCTCTCTTGGTGTGTTTAGGGTGGTTCTGTGAGATACGCATGTTGGTCTGTGGGTTTCTTGTATATGGTGGTTTGTATTTCACTGAGGAGCATAGGCGACACATAGGGGAGGAATGGGGGGTGGGGCATATGCCCCTCTGAAATTGGCCCTGTTCCCCTCCCTGATCCAGCACTGGGGATTTCCCATCCCCAGCCCGACTGTAACGCTGGGGAGGGGAACTGAGCAATTGGGCTGGGGGCACAGGTGGTGTTCTCTCCAATCCTTCCAGTCTCGGGGTATGGGCTGAGGAGGGAGAGGAGG